TCTAAGCTCAGAGTCTCCCATGGCCCCATCTAGCTTTCTTCTTCGTTGTCTTCTTTTACAGAGGTAATGATCATCTCTCTACTATTTACTTTTATTATTATTATAGATTATTGGAGTTCAAGGATGTGTATTTCTAGCTCAGTTAGTGGGTGGCTACTACTCCAGTTAAACTTGGAGAAAGAAATAAGGAGATCATTTCCTGACAATCTGAGAGTTTCCAAATTGGGTAGGAGGAAAATGTTCTCCATGCAAGTTAGTGAATTCAAGATCTAGATATCTCAAAAAAAGGATACATTCACGGGTATCTTAGATTCAATCTTCACTTTTATAATTTTGGTTTTCTATATATGAATTCCAATCATTTGTAATTTCGTTGAGAGTACCTGGTTATAAATTGGTTATTTTACCATGGGTCTTTTTCCAATTTGTGGTTATGACAGTGAAGCTAACTTCCTATAGGTTCTTTTATTGATAAATCAAAGGAGTATGGCTTCAATTTTGTTTGCTTTATCTTTTGAGCAATTCAATAACTCCACATCAACTGTATCGAGCGACATTTTTCATTCAAATTTCATTAACAAAAGAATTCAAAAAAGATTGTCTCATACAATCTTGTTTCACCAATATTTCTTTAGTAGATATTCTTAAATGGTTTGATACCATATATGCTCATCATTCCAATATATATCATTTTGCACAGTTGGTTCAACAATTTGGTTCACTAGAGTTGAATCATCCTAAAGCAATAATATTAGATTTGGCTTCTTGTTTGGATAAACTATTAGATATTGATTATTGATATAATGATATCAGAAAGTAGTACAGTGTAAATGGTGAATTCATCGCTCAATTGTATTCTCATGTCGGTCATATTGGTAAATATCAGTTTCAAAGTGCAAACAGACAGTTTCGGTTACTTTATGTAAGATATACCTTTCTGTAGTAGCATGAAGAGGGAGGACAAAAGGTCATCTTTTATTTCCTACATTTTCTTAGCTAAAAGACTGTAGAATTTATAATTGTTTTCCTCTTTGATTCACGGTTCATGTCTCCAAGCATTAGATAATGGTATATTTGTTAAGGTTACTCAAAACAGTTCTTATTTTGCTAAATAAATAAATAGATATTGAAGCCCCGCGAGTTACTCCTAAGGGTTCGATTATTTTGTCTTTTACCTGATCCATTTCATTTGTGTTAGAAAATTTTATGATAGATAGGGCTTTTTGTAAGGCACTCTACTTACTACTTATTTCTGTGTGTGCTAAAAAAGGTAATTCCAATTTGTGTCCTCCAGTTTGTGTGACTTCTATATTGTTAAAGTTGAGTATGTGGTTGTGGGCAGTCTTAGGGATACATAAAATTTATAAAGAATGAAAAGAAGTAGAGGGGCAGAGGTTCGGGTCTATGGTTGGGGAGAAGAGAGGCCTGACAACCAAGGGCAACATTTACCTTAAAAAGACTAAACCTAATGCTAAAAATTTTCAAACAATCATGCATCCTTGGCCAATTTTGCAAATAAAATTTCAATCGCTTAATAATGTGGTGTATACTTAATTCAAGATCAGCATACGTGTATTGTGGTACTTGGAGCAAACAGTCAGGAACTAGACCGGCAAGACAAATTAAAGCGAGCTGGCAAGACCAGTTAAAGCAAATTGGCAAGATCAACTAGAGCAAGCTGCATGTGAACTGTTAGAGTCTTGTATTTCTTTCCTCCTATAAGAAAAACTTATTATACTTCAAATGATCTAAGAGAAGTAGAGTTGTGAGACACTTGATGCAAAATTTATGATTGTACATGGTTCATGTGCTGAGTTCATTACCCTAGCTTGTGAAAATACAAACTGCCTTACAGAAATAGATTTATAGATATTCTAATTAGTTAATGTTAGTTGCTTCATATTCAATTTGTTGTTGCATCTTCATATATGGTTTTCTGCTCACAAAAGCAATAGGAAAATTTTAAAAGTAAAATAAAAAACTATTTCTTTGACTTAACTAATATTTATAATGATTGCACAAATCTAACCACTTGATCCTATACATGCGGGGGAGTACAAACTATTAAGTTAGTTGTTTGAGAGAGGGGGTTGAAATAGAGATGACTTCTCATATGAAATCAATCAGACTTAAGGTCCAGTTCTTCTTAGCAAACTGTAAGATATTGATAGGTTTAAATCGAAATGGTAGCTACAATATTGAATAAAAAGATATCTTTGTATTTGCAAAATCTTATACTTATTCTTATTCAACACTCTATCAAAAGATATTATGATATAAAAGACAAGCCCTTCACACTTTTTTTTTCTGCGATGTTGTGGAGTTGCGAATAGTTTTCACATATATGGAGTCGTCAAGTACAAACTTCTAATGCAGGTTGCAGATGTCAGAATACGACTGCTGCACATCTTCAGATTTTCACCCTTATGGATCCTTGAAACACGGACTTTAGTGGCTATATTCAAGATATGAGATGTAAGGTTAGATTTTTTTTTTCTTTTACTTCAAGAGCTTCATAAGTTACTCATGGCACTCATCTGGAGTTATACAAGTACTATTACTGTTTTCCTTTCTTTTTGTCTCTCTGTTTTTTGTCCCCTTTTTATGCTCAACCTCCAAAGCTAATGTTTTAAGGTTTGATGGTCATGCAGGTGTAATGCTACTTCCTTTTAAGAAAATAATTATTTCTCAGCAATGAGTAGGGGTGGCAAACGGGCGGGTCGAGTCAGATATTTGCGGGTCAAAAACAGGTAATTCAAAAAATGGATAAATTATCCGACCCGACCCGTAGTTGAGACGGATAAAAAATGGGTTATCCGGCGGATAATATGGATATCCATATTATCCATGGCTTCTTGAATATGATCATTAACGGGAGAATTCCTACTCTCCCAAACTTGAGTAACCCCCAATTTGAGGTTTTACAAATGTAAAAGTTAAACACATTAGTTATCCATTGGTTATCCATTTGGTTAACCATTTTCTAAGTGGATAATATGGTTCTTATCCATACTCAACCCATTTTTAAAAAGTTCATTATCCAACCCATTTTTTTAAATGGATAATATGGATGGATAACTGTTTTCTTTTACCCATTTTACCACCTCTAGCAATGAGTATTCTGCTGTGAATGAAACTTTTGATTATCATTCTTTTAGCAACATAAAGCAGGTTGTGTGATCAAAATTATAAGTAATATGTTTTGCTTGTGTGGTGATACTATAAGATGGCAGCTCAAGATGGTGTTAAACCTTTTGACTTGTGGGAACTTCAGATATTTTCTTTCTTATTATGAGAATATACCAACTATAGCCAACGATTCTATTTTATAAATAAGTTAAAATATGTTCGAATATCATTGACTTTTCCTTTTTCTATTCTGGTAGCGTTCTGACATAACAGCAAATTTCAAGGCAATACAAAGTGTATTGATAAAACATTCCTTGGGAAGGGAGCTAAACAAAAAATCAAACTGGTTTTAATATGTTCACATGTTTTATTCTCTTATTTTTATGGTTAGTTAATTAGTCACACATAGCTTAAGGGACTATTTAAGCTTGTTCAATGATGAATTAAGCATGACTATGTGAGCTTCAAAAAATTGGCAATTTCAACAGAAAACCCTGAGATTAATGAACTTTTCACTATTTTGTGTGTCTGGATCTATCTTAATAAAAATGGATTGGTGAATCTATCTATTTCTTAGATATTATACTTGGCAATTTTGAGGAAGACAAAACTATTTATCTATCCTACCATTTCTTTTCTTGATTTGCGTTATTATTAGTAGGAATTTTTTTTGTTGATCTCTTTGTTCTTAATCTTAGCAATGGAGGTATTAATTGCTTTAGGTTAGTCTGATCAAAGAATAGTTACCAAGTTGCACTATATTTAGCACCATAATTGGCATAAATTCCTTCCTTTATTGTCTACTTGAGCTAAACATTGAGTATATAGATGCTTTATATTGTTTCCTCTTAGCTTTCTAGTCTCACTGTCGAGTATTTTTTGTTCTATGGGTGTTGTTTGATTATTAACTTCATTTAAGTTTTAGGAGATATATAACCGTAATGTAGCTTGAACTAACTAAAAATAATTATACCAGCTAATCTAATTTCCTCTCTATCTTATGAACAATATTTTAAAGAGTACTAAACTTTGGATACTAAACAAGAGCGTAAGTTGTATCTCCAAGTTTGGTTTGTAAGTATTGTAATGGTTTCTTTTCTTATCGGAGACTATTGGCGCATCTGAAACCTTAACTTGGAGGCTGAAGAGAAAAGCCCCTTCAACATTAATCCATTAGAGTGGACCGAACTTACTAACTCAAGCAAACCTCCAACATGTTGGTGAAAATGTATGCCTAAGATGTTATATGTGCCTAGAGGAAGCTGAATTCATCATTCAGTAAAGTAAATAGATCAGAATTGAGCAGTTGGTGCATGTACCATTGCTTGAACATTGTTTGTGCATGTTTCTAAGATTATTCAAATTCAAATGGTAGTACCTGCCCCTGGTACTGTAAAAGAAGTTATTATTAGCTTAGATGGGCGAGAAAGTAAAAAACATCTCAGAGCTGTATGTAATACAATTTCAACCTGTAATTTTTATGTAGTTTGGAACGACAAGTAAATGTATCAAAAATGAGAAACTTCGGTCCACACGCTTTGAATACAGTTTGTTTGTGTTTGGTTGTTGTGTGAATCAAAATGAAAGATGTACAAATAATAGATTCCTTAAACCCTCCTACTTCTATATGTACCCCTCTATATCAAATAAAATCATGCTTCTTTACAATAGGACGTCGAGTTTATCTATCAAAAGAATTTTTTGTAGCGAACAGAGCAACAAGTTAGCGATGTTGGGCCTGTGCTCAGCACAGGCGTGCCTCATCTAGTATTTTTTATTTTTATATTATTATTATTATTTTATTTTTTCTATTATATAGAAGAGCCATGCTTGGTCGACCAAGGGTAATAGTCATTTAGCTCAGTAAAACTTTGTCACATGCCTTTTATTCCAATGCCTCATTTAGCTCCGTAGACTATTTTAGATAAGGGTAGAATAGACAAACACATCATTGGTCTAGAAATATCCAATCCTTCGTCTTTCAGTTTCAGAATGCTCCTTGCATGGTTCTATGTTACTGCAATGATAGATTAACATCATTGAAGCTTCAGCTAAATTTTGCAATAAGGTAACAGTCGTCAATTCTTCTAATACAGTCCTTTTGTTAACATTTGTGGGAAGCTTCGGTTAAACATTCTTTGTACTAATCCCATTCTGTCAGCGTAGAAATTAAAAAAAATACTTGAACCACAAAGAAAATTGCAAAATAAAATTTCCAAACGTTATAGAAGCAAATTAAAAGTGATACCGAATGGGAAACAAATCAAAAAGAGATACGCACCTGGGTTTTAAGTTGAAACGGCCGAAAAGCCAAGTGTGGTCGACCAATGGCAGAATTGTAATTGCATCAATTATGCAAGGTTAAATTGGTAAGATGCTTTAGGTGTCCACTGCTTACTGACTCCAGGTTTTCATTCCAACACACTGACGGTAGCTCTAGAAACATCGGCTCTTTCATCTCTTTTCACAAAGAAATGCTCCTTCAATTTTTTGTTCGAATCTCTTCATCTTCTTAATTGGGTGGTAATTGATGACGGGATTCAGGCCTCTTTGGTTGTAGTTTCAGTTGAGTTCCAACTGTCCATTTATTAATTAAATATGATTTTTATAGTTCTTGAATGAAGGTTTCTCCATAATGATGCCCTTTTGTCATTCTTGCCGTGTCAGCTTAAAACTCATGTGCCTACTTCTATTTCTCTTATTTTCATTTGGAATATCTATTTATTTGCTTCAGTATGTATGAGAATTTTATCTTGCAATTGTCTTTTCGGGTTTAATTATGATTTTCTTTTTCTCTGGGAGCTTTTGAATTATATTAATTTTCGAAATTTTTGTTTGTGTGTTTTTTCATCTCTTCCAGAAATTTGCAGGGATGAGAGGGGTTTATCGAATTGGTTTCTCCTTAACACTTTGACGGCTCTTTAATTGCATCTAAATTATCAAAGTGAGGTTCTTGAATTGCTTTGGTAGCTCTTTCCTTTTGTCTTATTAGTTTGTAATATCCATTTTTGAAGTATTTCCTTAGGGATTACTTATATGATACTAAATCGGGTTTCTTATCTCCTTCTTGATTCTTGCCGCTTTATATAAGGGGAAACCTTAAGTCTAAGCTCTAAAGAACCAAAATATATGATGAAATTTCATTCTAAAGATTCACCCTTTACAGTAAGTTGCTTGTCATGTCTTTTACTTTTTGAAGTCCTCGGTTAAACTTTATATGCCTTTAAGATTCTGATACTTTTACATATAATGTAAAAGAAGTTTCTGAAATAGTTTGGACATGTTGTGAAAAATGATAATCAAACAAGATCTTTTAGTCATAGAGAATCATCAAAGAGTTTCATTTCATTTGGATGAGTCACCTGTATCTGTTTTGGTTATATTGGAGATTGTGAGATTCTCTACTAGTAATATTTTAAAATGAGATGGCATGTTTATGTATGTCATGTAAGTTAGAATTCAAAGAAGATTCTATAGATACTCATATTAAGCAGTTCTAGCTAGATTCCTTTCATTTGATAGTACGTAAAAAGCGTTGTAAGTGAATCATTTCACTAGACCCAAGTGAGCCACATTTGACCTAAAAGTGCCTAAGCTTTTGATTATCTCAATTTTACTCAACATTTATTCTTTTATTATTTACTTGTCAGCTTTGTCATGGTAAGAAAAATAATTATATTAAGTTGCATCTTCTTTTTTTAATGTTGTTTCTCTTTTTTCTGCCTTTTTATGTTGTAATAATATAGTGACGTATGTGTTGTTAATTTTTGTTTTTCTTTTTATCTTTTAGCATAGTGTCAGTATTCTTCATAGTAAATGAGAGGATTGTTGAGATTAGTTGGATGTAAGGATGATCTTACAACTTGGCATGCTAGAATGAAAATAAAATAAAGTAGTTTGAAGTATTCTAGGAATGTTGATATTTTTCATTTGAGGTAGGTGTTTGAATTCGATATTCCTTGATATGCCGAAGTTCTGTTTTAAGTGGGTTCGTCAAATGGGTACACGTTTAAGTCTACTCAGTTATCTTGGAATTTATCGTATAATAACGTACGGATCACTTTAATTTTAGTTTGGAAGTGCAATTGGATTGAGAGAAATTACTTTAATTACTATGAGAAGTTTAATTTTGAAGGACCATTTGGACAAAGTATATTTGCTTCAGTTTTAAGTATTGAACACAAAACAAAGCTCTCTAAGTAAGTAAATCATGTCTTCTTTTTGAAGTATAATCTTTCAGTTTAATATTTTTTCTTTACTTTGAAGGGGATCCTTGGAGCAACGATAAAGTTGTCTTCGTGTGACCTATAGGTCACGGGTTTGAGTCGTAAAATTAGTCACTAGTCTTGCATCAGGATAGACTGCCTACATTACACATTCCTTCTCCGAATCTTGCGTAAACATGGGATGCCTTGTACACCTGGTTGTCCTTAATTAGATACCAAATGTTACTACTTTTTATTTTTTGCCAAGAGATATATGTTAGCCTCAGTTGAAAAGGAAATGACTGCTTATGGTAATAGGACCTCTATATTCTGCTAAAGTTCTGATATTGTTCTGATGTTAACCTTTTAACTTTAGATGCTGAGAATTTGTATCTTCGTGTCAGATAAGAAGACATGACTTATTTTTGGTTTTATTAGAAAAAAAAAACTGGGACATGACTTATTCTACGGGAAGAACCTCTATTTCTTCCCAAGTTGTGAGAATTTTCTAATTCCTTATATTTTGGCATAGACTCAGTTGGAAATTGGAAAAAATTCTACATTTTTTTTTCGTGTAGAATCTGATGTTACGTTGATACATCTTGAGCTAGGTCTCATTGTGGTAATTTATTTCAAGTGTACCTTCAGTATGGAGATTCTATTAATCGATCATGTTTTGCAAACTATGTTAGGTTTCTCATAAACCGCTCAAAAAAGTGCAACACAAAAAGGGGTAAAAACGTTATCAATTTTTCATGAATTATACATATTGTTCCAATAGCAGGAAAATCACCTTCTACTTATGTAATGTTCTTCCCCTACGTGAACTACATTTTATCTCCTCTCAGAATGACTTCAAAATAAATTACTTTCAAGAGCAGTATGTAAAATGACAAACACATTAACCATTATGTTTGGCCATCATCTGTAAATGGTTGCTTAGAAGACAAATGTAAGGAGATAAAAAAACGAGTTGCTAATTTCTTTTCTTTTTTTGGAATATCAAGTGTTTTGGGAAGTGCAAGATATGTAGGGAGCACTGCTATTTCTAAGTGCTGCTTTATTCTTGGAGTGTTGACCTTTCTTTAGTCTTTTCTAGTTCTTTAAACTGTATCTATGAAATTATTGATAAACTTCGACTAATGACTATTTCTATTTACGTTATATTTGTTTCATGTTTCATATATATATTTTTTCCAACACAATGTATGTTCTTGCATTGATATACACTGTATGGGAGCATTCATACATCTCTAACTGTGGTGAGAAGCCCTTCTGCAATAGAATTAGTGTATTAAAAGAAGAATATTATTTCTACCGGATGGCCAAATAATATCCTTATCAACTGTTTTAGTGGCTTAAATACGTGGTCATTGATGCGTTTAATATTGGCGTGCAGGTTAAATGGGATGGAGTAGGACATGAGCTTTGTCTCTTATTAGCTCTGAGTGTTGTCTCTTTATCGGCGCACATTTCCTCAAAGAAATCTCATATTTGTTGAAGTTCAATTCTTGAAGATAAATGTTGTATCTCTCGTAATTCTCCTATAAGTAAAGATAGATATTTGCTTGTTCGCATTTGATGATAAACCGTTTCAAGTATTCTGTGACTTGATCTTTTGTTCACTTTAATCTTTTTCACGATGGAGAGTCAGTTCTAACAATCCAATGTCATTTCTATGTGTTGTACTACTTTATCATATCTGAATTTACATAGCTACATTATAGCTTTATTAGTAATGTATCAAAATTTGCATAGCACTCATCTAATACTATATAGAAGCCGCTTGGAAGTAGGCCAGGGTCGTCATGCCTGCTTTCCAAGGGCTACTTTAGTCTTTTTGTAAATTTTGCTAACAACTAATGCGCGTAGGGTAACTTTGACGGGTGGTGCGATATAGTGACTCTCACTGCCAGTGACTAATCCCTCCCTCTGCTCATCCTCTTTCTCTGCTTCATCTTCAGATTTCTTTCTATCTCACAGCAATTAATCTGCTTCCATTTCCCTCTGCTCATCCTCTTTCTGTCTCTGCTTCATCTTCAGATTTATTTTTATCTCAACTTCACCGATTTTGCTGTCACTTTCGACATCATCGGTTAATCGAAGGTCTTTGCATAGGAAACCTGGTTCACTGACTTTCCTCCCAAGGTTTTATCACCAATACAACATCAAACGTTTTCGGAATAGCCGAGGAAATAGTTGCGGAGATTTTAAGGTAATATTTACTAGAAAAAACCTGTGTTTCGACTTCTACAACCTTAATTAGCAAAGTTCAACAACTCAATATTGTCCTCTTGCAATATCTGCTTGTAAGACTGGAATTTTTTTATTTGTTTTTACATCCTTGATAAGAGTTCTTGCCCCAACTTTTCTACCAAGAATGTTTGATGGGGTTGAAACAAATGTTGTCATTATGAAAAGGGTGATGAGAAGGGAAATGAGTTTTGTGGATTTCGTTGTATTTTGATGATTGAAATTTTACGAATGTTTGGGAGAAGAAGGGGAATAATGTTCATACTAAGTCAAAGAAAGAAATGAAACAAGAAATAAACATAATAAGTGTAAGGAATCACCAATTGTTTGCTAGATCACAATTTTTTCTCTTTGCCAGCTTTGGTTTCAGTTAGCCAGCCTGCTATGTCTTTGCCAGCTTTGCTTTTAGTTAGCCAGACTGCTATTGCTTCCTCTTTGTTAGTCTTTATTGAGAATATGTCAGTAAAAGTTTTTGTTATTCTGTTGGTTCTGGAATAAAGAAGGTCTCTCTTTGGGTTCATAAATATATTATGATCAAAATTTTGATTACGTCTTCTACTGATTAAGTTGCTATACTTCTAACAAAACTCATGTGGTCGCTAAAATTGCAAAAATGTGTGGGATAGATTTCCAAAGAAAAACCTTATTTGATTTTTTTAACTTTGGGTATCGAAGCATCGGAAGGTAAAATTTTGGATATCGAGGCATCGAAAGGTAAGCACCACAGTATAATAACATTCTTCTCAAATGGCTACGGGTGTCTTTGTTTGTGCCCAAGTGAGTAATTTATCGATCCCCGCAAGGTGTTTGTTTTTTCTCCTTCTGCTGATATCAATCTTGCTGGTGAGCTTTGTCCAGTGTCCATTGATATTAAAATTTGTCACTCTCATATATGAGTTGGTACAAGAGTTCTACTGTTTTTAAACATTATAAAATTCATCGTCAGTAAACAAACAACACTGTAACCATACTAAGAGATAGTTGCTTTCCAATTTTTTTCTTGCTTTGGACTTTTTAACTGAAGAAAGGAAAACCCAACTGATCAAGTGTGAAACTTGTGCAGGACTTTCAGATATAATTAACTTCCAAAGCATTCATTCATTTGTTTATGTCTTCATTTTGATCTGCATGTAGTTGGAGTTTGTTGCAGCATGATGGATTTGTTGTCTAGTCTGTGATATTGAAATTAAGAAGGAACTTTAAGAGTAATATTAGAAGTGTGATTGTGAAATTCTCATGTTATCTTATTTAAAAAGACACCATCTTTAAGGGAGTCTCGCAGTGATAGTAGAATTTGAAAAGTAACTTTTCAATACATGTCCATCAATTTCTTATCACAAAGTCCTTTAATGATCAGATTCCTATTATAAAATACTTCAATAGATAGACTCTTTTATTTTTTAGTTTTTTTATACTGTTAATTTACAAAGAAACATATCTGCTCTAAAAGGTCAAAATCTTTTCTGAAAAATTAAAATTTCAATATTTATTAACTGTTAATATTCTCTGTAACAGAAAATACATATATATTTATGTATAGGTATTTACACCTCTGTTTAATCTAGCTCATTTTTGTTCTGTTATTACTGTGCCTTTTTTAAACCTTCAGTTTTATTTATTTGGATAGTAATTAATTTCGACGAATTTTGAGAATATTTTTCTTTATAAGGTTATACCCTGTGGTATCATTCCAAACAGTTTTTATTTATTTGATGCACACAATTTTTTTTGTGACTTGGTCAATGATAGAGGTGGATTCAAGATTTGAATTTTATGGATTTGAGTTCGGCATTTTACAAGACTACCACATCCCATTTGACTTACTGGGTTGAAAATATATATTTGTACTTCTGTACTGAATTTTGTAATAAATTTACTAAGTATGAGCTAGGTTTGGACGATCCCATAACATTAACGCTACCCTAGCGGATGAATTGGAAAGAAACTTTGTACTCATTCATTTTTAGTTTGATGACAATTGATCAAGAAAAGGTCTTAAGCGCGTGCTATTGATATAATTATGTTGACTTTCTGTTATTCGTGCATACATCTATTTTGCATTTGTTCTTTCATAAGATCTCTTTTTGAAGAGCGACCGATTTCTGAGGTTGCAAGATATAAAATGTACTTTGCATGATGATGCACTTACTATTTTGTTGTTGGTGGGTCCTGAGATTGAAAGGTATAAAAATAAATTTGTAGGATGATGTTCTTTGTGTTTTGTTATTGGTGTTGATCCAACGCTATTTGTATTGATGGCTTCATCGAAAATGTTATTTGTACTGATGGAGTTGGTTTGATTCTGAATTGTTTGCTTTAATTATTGCTTCTTTTTCTTATGTAGAATTTTTAGTTGAACTTGATGAGTTTTGTATTATTATCAGATTTGATATTTTCTTTGTGTTATTATTAAAGTCGATCGTCTTACAGATTGTGGTTACACAGGTAGCATATACTGTGATGTATGACTCTTTTGGCACAACCAATGTTCTTCTCCATCATATTGTTGTTACTTCTTCAAGTGTTTTGTATAAATTATTGTATTGGAAATTCTTCTTTCAAAATTTCCTCACACTTGTGTTCTTGCAGGTTGAGCTCAACTTCTATGATGCTGACAGCTCATCAACTGCATCTCTCATCTCTTGTTCAGACCCAATGTGTTCTTCGACTGAGTGCTGGCTATTACGTGTCAGATTTATTTTATTTTGACACAGTCCTCGCGACCTCAGTGATTGTCAACTCTTCAACACAAAAATCCAACTGAAATTATCTACCTATTTCAATTATATGATGTTAAAAGCTATATTGTGGTAATAAACAACAAATGTATGTTCCAGCAGAATATCCAAAAAGCTTGAAAACCACTAGACAATAATAATGACAGAAACACGAATTGTAAGTATCAATTCCAACAAAAAATAAGTAATTTTCTTCTCTCTTTTTTGGTTTCTAATTGAGAAAATACCACAGTTTTTCCTTCTCATTACTTTTATCTTTTGCTTTGCACATTCATGAAATCCATCCAAGAAGTTGGTCAGCGAGAATCAGTGGAATTGTCCAGATAAAGTGATATGAATAGGTGTCACGACCCAAAGTAACCCATGTCGTGATGGTGCTTGTCGTGGAACTAGGCAAGCCGACTCATTTTCAAAACAAACCGATATTTTCATTTCAAAGATAAT